ACCAATAAGAAGTTGAAGCATAGAGGCATATATGTGTTAATAGACCTAACAGACTCTGGTCGTACCCATATAGGAGTTTTCGAACATTAAGAGAACTCAGGACCACCAATACAGGTATAGCTAGTATAAGTGAATACAGTGATAACCAGGGGCTACAACTACCGAGAATCACCATAAATAGAAACTATGACACATCTGTTAAAAACTCCTAGACCTCATGATCCCATTCAACTATATCGAGTACTGAAAGCATTTGCAAAACATACCTAAGCAAGCCTCATCACCATATTGAGAAGTACAGTCATTTGCATATCACCAAATTCAAAACACTAAGACCTTGGTCTCAAAGTTGCAGGAAACCAGCTAGTTATGGCAGCATGCAGGCTTGAGATACTTACCCAATTGGGTAAAGGCAGCTGCATGACTTGAAATACGAACTTCTGGAAGTATGCTAGTTGGGACCGGGTACACCAAACTGAGAACAATAAGCACTCACCTGGTACACACCAATTTGGAAGTTAAGATATTAGGTATATGGGTAAAGTGGCAGACATGTGAATACTAATTGGCGGTTGGGGAGAGATGTATAAAATCCAGATCAATTACATGTGTGGGAGTGTTGACGGCTCTAATGGGTTTTAGCTGTGAATAAATGGTCCTAGACCTAAAGTCCTAGTCCTAGTTCTAATATGTAATATATATGTATTTTGGCATCATCATATGTTAATTGCTTAATTAATGATCTGCCAGTCACCTGATGCATGATCATAGTGTAACGTGATACAGATCACTACAATATGGACTATTGGACATGGACAAATATAGACTATGTCTATATTGTCCATATTTTTTGATTGGACATAGGCACTTAGTCCAAAGGCCAGCACATGATTTGTATAACTTTAATTATAGGTTTTGATTGGCTAAATAATTAAACCCCGAAATATCTTTACGTAAATTTTTTGTGCTCACACTATAATATAGTAAGAATCTTTTATTTTCTTTCTTGTATTATTAAATTGATTCTCACCTGTCCCAAGCATTTATCAAAACATTTTTTTTTTTTTATTTAGAAAGTTTCAGATTTCTTAAATGTTATTACCGACTCAATTAATATATCATGATAAATAAAGCAATTTATTTCAGTTTATATTTGTATTTTCTTTAAGCTAAAATGTTCTTAAACGGTCTTGGCCTATGATTTTTTAGATATAACCTAAATGGTCAACGCTATTCTTAAAAACCTTTCTCAAATTTAAAAAATACTTAACTTACAAAAGTTTAAATAAAATATAATAAACACGAAAACCCCACCAATGTATTTATATTTATAATTATCTATCTGCTAATACATTTTTACAATTATCTAAAGTGTGTAAGTAATTCTTAATTTCTTAACACAATTTCATTATTTGGATCAATTCTAATAACTACTTAAATTTATAAAGGATTCTTTATATTCGTTGATAAATTTCTCTACTCTTATTTAAAGCTGTTGTATAGTTTGAGTTGATTTCTAATGATATATTTAAAGCCTGCAAGTTCATGATTATTAAATGCTATATTATGTTATTAATTTTTAATTAATTAGTTAAATTAGCATTTACTGTAAATAAAATTGCCACTTACATACCTAATTACCCAAAAGCAGATGAATAGAATCAGGTTGGTTTAACGAATCTGTAAAAATATCTGTCAGTTTCCACTTTGCTCCCAAATTATCTGTGGAGTGAATTAAATAATCTTGATGCATTACTTCATCTTCATCATTATATAAATCAGTTTCTAATTCATCTGAACTAGATGAATTAGATTGCATATGCTCATCTTCTTCTTCAGTTAGATTAATCCATTCTTCTACAATTACTTTTCAATCATCTACGCACTTAACTGCTTCTATATGATCACTATCTCTGGTGTATTTTGTATCAATATCATCATTGTCAGTATTTTCTTCTGATAATATAAATCCATCTTCGTTATCATCATTAGGATTTATTTGTTCAAACGGAATAGCAATAGTTTGCTTGTATGTTTTTAATGACTTGTCAATTGTCGCAATATTTCGTGAATGTAAAAGCTCAGATCTTATTTGGCTCATGGCAAGGACTTTTTTATACTATTAAATGTAAAATATAATAAACGTGATTAATTGGATATTTCAATACCAATGCAAATATAATTTCTCCTTAACAAATAATTTATACAAAAATAACAGTCAGAGTTAGCAGTTCGAAAAATCATTTTTTTTGTTAGAGTGCAAAGGTAGTTTTTTTTATAGTTTGTCTATTAAAGTTATGACACATTGCATTGGCAATAAATTATATTAGATTAATATTAGAAAATATAAAATAAGTTTGCCTGAAGTCG